CAGTTACAAGTTCAAAGCATCCAATCACACCATTTCATTGAGAAACACACACTTAGGGAATGCTGTCCATAACAGAGAGCTGCTCAGGGACTGCAAAGATAAAAGATGTGATCCTGAGTTCATTGTTCAAACGGATGATGGCTCCACGCTCGACATGTAGGTGCGGTACACTGAAACATGCTGTGGTTTTATTTAAGCTGCTTGCAGTATCTCCAGATAGGTGTTCATCCAGGATCACTTTCCAAAATTAAGAAAAGTGTCATGTTGAAAATGAATGCCTAAAAGCTTTTCCTCACTCAGGTTGAAGGAAACCCTTGTCATAACTCATTGTATATTCCATACACAGTGTCATTTATTAGTGTAAAAGTCAGTATGGATGTGAGAAACACGAATATTTCCCAATTCTCATACTTATTTGTAAATTAACATCTGATCACAGACAGTGTATGTTGAATACACTTGCTATGGAAAAATCTCAAATACACCCAGTACAAAACTGTATGTAAAGTAACACATTTCCTTCTGTTTAGACATATTTGGGAAAGAAGAACTGTTCCTTACTCAAGAAAGCAGCAATAATAAACAGTGAAAAAAAATAGTGTGTGGTACTGAATATATATTTCAGTTTTAACAACCAGACATAAAAACCAAATACCTCTTTTGATAAAGATCTATTGTAAATGTAACAAAACTGCACTATGTAAATGGCAACAGCAACATGCCCTGTGGTACAAAGCCAAGCCAGAGAGCTGCCAAAAACATTTCTTCTGACAACATAAACTTGTTTTTCAATCTTAGGTAGGAAACCTGGGGGATGCTGGAATCAAATGTGTCTCAACAGTGACCTCTAGTGGACAAGACTTAAAATGATCGTCTCCCACAGACATTGTTTTCAATAATGCTGTACCATCTCCCAAACATGGGGACCAAATTAAGAAGTCAGCTGGAGAAGACCCAAAGCTAGCACTCACGGAGGATGGCTTTGTGAAGGTCATGGCAAAGGTACTCGGACAGACAACTGTGATAAACGCTTGTTTTAACTGTATTCCTTGGTCCCTGCAGGCAGGTCCTTGGCTAGGCCTTCCCGACTGCTCAAGATTTGCACTTAGTCACCTAACCAATCTACTTCTCAACTGGTACTGCATCAGTGCTCATTTCATATTCAACATGTTTTGAGTACTTTTGTAGGATTTTGTCAAATCTCGAATAAGTAATTTGGACACACGGACGGACACACACACACACACACACACACACACACACACACACACACAGTGAAGGGTGAAGGGGAGAGTGCTAATTTTGACTGAAAAAGAAGAGCCTAAGTCCATCCCAGCTTCCCCTAGGTGCAAGTACTTTAGAATACTTTTGCACAACCACAACACAGCATTCCTGAATGATGAAGTAAATTCATGACTACACAGATGGAGTACATGTCACATCCTAGGACATAATGCAATGTTCCTTTAGGGTACTAAAATTCAGTGTGTTTGAAATAAGAACAAGGTGAGGAAGACCAAAGTCAATGGCAGACCCTACACCAGCTCATCCCCAACACACCCTTTGGTTCCAAGTGTTCACCACTTAATTTCAGTCCACTGTTTCCTCTCAGACCTTCCCTCTTGTCTATCTGCTTCCTTTGAGCAATCCTATGAGTTTACCCAGGGAAATCAGACACAGAAATAATCTTTGTTTTCAGAAAAGCTTACAAGTCAGTGGAGTGTTGCTCAGTGGAACAGCGCATCCCTACCAAGAATGAAGATCTGGCTGTACCCTAGAACTATAAAAAATAAATAAACAAATGTGACTTCTTCATGTTTCTTTATTCTGAAACTCTGACCCTTGGGCCAGAAAGAATCCCTGATGTCCCCAGCTCATACCTACCCATCAGGGCAGAAAGGCAGCAGAAAAAGAACAACTTGTTCCTCTTCCACCCACTGCCTTAAAGAGGCCACAAACTCAAGCAGTCTGAGTCTGAGGAAGTTACTGCTACCATTAATTCCCTAGGTGACTTCATCAGAATTCATCAACATCACCCTGGTATCCCAACTTTACATTTAAACAGTTGCAATGTCATGAAAATGAAGTTCCAATGGTGGGACTTGGGCCTTGGATTTTTAATTTTTGTTGTTTCATAGTTAGAGAAGACTTCAAAAATCTCTGTTTATATTTTCAGGAATATAGCTCAGATTGGCAGAATGCTTGCCTCAGATGCACAAAGCCCTGGGTTTCATCCCCAGCATTGCAAACAAACAAAAACAAACAATAGCTCTTTAGAAAGAAGCCAAATTCAGAACTACATAAAGGAAGGATGAGTTCAGGAAAAATAAAAAGTTAAAATCCAATTCTAGGGCAGGGGTGATGGCTTGGGGGGTAAAGTTAGACCATATAAGCATGAGAACCCAAGGCCAGATCCCTGGCACCCAAATAAAGACCAGCATAGAGGTTTATGCATCTGTAATGCCAGCATGTGGGAGAGGTAGAAACAAGTGGCTCTCAGCCAGCCCAGGGAGCCTAGGCAAATAGGTGAGCCCCAGAGTTAATGAGAGACCCTGGTGCAAAATGTAAATAGAAAACAAATGAGGAAGACACCTGGTTTCAACCTCTAGTGTCTATGTGTTCATGTATCTATAAACATGAACACAGTGTGTGTGCAGTACATACATACACACACACACACACACACACACACACACACTGCACACAAAAATATTGGGTGTCAGGATAATAAAGGCCACCTTAGGATGTTCATAACCTCACTTGCATTATATCACCCTCCATGGATCTATCAAGGTCAAAAACCTCCAACAGGAAAAGGGCTGTCAAGCCAGTGTCACGGTGATCAGATGTCTCTGCAGATGTTAACTTAAAAGCAAATGGTGTCCTTATACAAGGTCCCAGTTTAATCTGAATAAACTAGTCATTTCCTCCCATAAGCAGGAAAGCAGAAATGTCAGAGAGCTGTGTAATTGGCATACTGGAAGAAAAACACAAATACTTTAGCAAGATAAAAGGAAGCAGTGCGGAGGGGTTTATGTTTTGAGTCTCGGTGATTTTATTTTAAAGTAGCCTTGGCAGCTGGTCCCTATTAAACAACAATGGAAAGTGAAAGACACTGATTAGAATAAAAAGTGACAGGAGGGTGGGTTCAGCCATGAACGTTTAATGCATATTTATATTTCCATCAAATGGACATATTTACTATAAACACTTGAAAAATCCCAGCAAAGTCATTCATTTAAATGCCAGAAAAATAGTAAAAGATGCTAATTTGACCTTAGTGGAACAGATCTGGTGTCACTGACACTACAGGATGGCTTGAAGCAGAATCTACCAAGACAATTAATTAACGCTTACTGGATTAGGTCAAGAGTGTCTCAAATGGAGGGAGAAGAAACAAATGGGAAAGAGAGGAAGATGAAGTTTGGATTCTTTCACAGTCAATCTATCACAGTTTACCACATTTACAGCTCTCCAAAGTATCTAAAATCATATGGCTTGGAGGAAGAGACTGATCTGTTGATTCCTAAGGCTTCGGTCTCTGCAGATATGTAAAAAGAATCAAACGACAGCGATTGGGATGCTTTTTTAAAAGGCTGGATGGATGAGTGACCTGTAAGAAGGCAATGCACCCAACTGTATTGTGTAAATGTAAGTGAACACACAGAAGATCTACCGATCAGCCCACACGTTTTATAAACTGCAAACTCAGAGTCAAGAATCCCTACTGGAAAGTCCCAGGGAACTGTGAGATCATGCCGTGGTGCACTTTTCAAAATGCAAAGCTCTTCTGAACTGGAATGGTGGTCACCAAGGACAGCAAGACTAGGTGCTATAAAAACAAGGCAACCAGCACGTTACCTGTTACAACGAAGATTACGAATGACGTGTAGATCTCATTTTCATTTATGGTCACTGCTACTTAACCCTGAGAGTGGTGCCACTCTGCCTTTCCTTACAAATGTGCACTTTGCCTAAAAAACGAGCTAATCAGCTTGTTTCTAGCACATGAAGGGCTCTCCTTCACTGCCACTCTTAATCCTCAGTAATCAACAGCCTGGTGACATTGCCTCCAGCCATGTATAATGGACATACACACATAAATTCACAACACAAATCCCTCAACATGACATTCTGCTCAAGTTCATTGGACTTGGAAAGCCCCCTAACAAATGCTTGCCACATGATTAGAAAATCATTCAAGTCTGCAGGAAATACGGCAAGTGGAAAGAAGTGACAGTCAATTAGGAATGAGAAAGGAGAGTGGGTCCTGGTCATTAAAGTCTTTAAAGCCTTAGCGCCAAGAAGAAAATGGACCATCATTCACTTTCGATATTCTTTTAAAACATATTAATTCTACTGTGTGTGAATCACTCCAAACACCACAGATATCCAAGAGAATCCCGCAGAATCCCCCCAGGAACCAGTCCCCCCAAAAAATGAGAAAATGTGTTCAATGTATACAATTTTATGAGGTATTCTCCATCCCTAAAGCAGGGACAAAAAGCATTTTCAACAACAAAATCATCCCCATTGAAGAAAAAAATATAGGTGAAAATGACTTTTATTCTAATACGGTTTTGTTTTGTTGTTGAGAGATGAGGGTGGGTGAAACCTGGATTGTACCCTTGGCTGGACTTGAACACCTCCTCTTACCGCTGCCTCCTGAGTAGCTGGAACTACTGCCAAGCCCACCTCAATACTTTCCTCATGAAATGCTAACTACTAGCCAGGCATTGCCACTCACCACAGCACTTGCTACCTCAGGTGGAACTACCAGCAGATGCAGGATAGAAAAGAATTCTCAAAGTAGAGGTAAGCACAGAATACACAGACAGAAGGGGGACATACATATCTTTGCTGTCACCTAAACAAATTTTAATATTTCTCACAAGCAATCACTTATCGTTACTTTCTTTAATGGAAGGAATAACAGAAACGGCGGCACCATGACATGAGGTAAGAGGGAAACCATGGAACATAAGAGAAGCTGCACTTACTTGTTAGCTTGTTGTGACTGAGCACCAGCTGTGTGATATGGGCCAAGGAGACTGGAAAAGAAAGAACAAAACAGTCAGGAATGTTTACAGTTGCACTTCCTTCTTTCCCAGGTAGGCTGCAAAATTATTTTCGAAGGTTGAGGTGTCCACCACCCAGAATATAAGCTAGGACTCAATGCAAACTGTCTTCTGAGTGTTAGTTAGACCAGATGAAGAAGTCGTGCAATGGATGGTGCAATTAGCAGGGCAAGTTGGAACTAATGAGATTCATGTCACAGGACCAAGCATTACAAGGACCACTTAGCTTCACACTGTGACCTGGTAAGTTGGCCTAACTTGAACCATCCATCTCGATATGGTGCAGCTCAGAAGGATCCAGACAGCGGAGAAACTGGATTCATATCCAACTGATGTAGGTAGATCAGGATTGTAGCCCTACCCACATTGTCCACTCTGGAATCCCTCTGCACATTATTGCAGGATTAGATAAAACCTCTCCCGGACCTCCTCTAAACATAATTTAGTTAATGTGTCTAAGTACTGACTTGGAGTGTGTACTGCTTGCCAGTTCCCAATCTTATGATGAAAGATCTATCTGTGTCACCCAAGGAACTTGCCATGTTCCACTTTGGGTTCAAAAATTCTACAGGGTGTTCAGATATATATATATATATA